TCATGGAAAAATTCCATTATCTCTTAATTCCATTTTTCCACAAACATTTTGAAGCACTTTTGTAGTTTTTACATGATGCTTACTTTTTCCTAAAGTGCTTTCAAGTGGTTTAAACCAAAGGGATACATACATTAGAGATGATAGTGGGGAGATTAGGAACCAGAAAAAATCGAGTCTGGTTGAATTGTTTTTTTTTTTAATATGCGAGACACTATTCTGAAAGCACTGACCAAGAGCTCTGGTTCTGCTCGATTAGAGCTTATGCTCTGGTTTATTTACGGCCACTGTGAATCTAACCTTGGAAGTGGAGGTGCTTTTCCTACTGCGCCATCCCTCAACATTCAGACTCAATCATGATGGTGCTCTCCAATGATAAAGCATTTTAAACCTCCCTTTGTACTTTGTGGAGGGGAGACGTGGGGTCTTTGTCCCCTTCATTTCCAGATTCTCAGGAGTGTACTCTCCTTTAAAAGTCGTCACTACTAAATGGAAATTAAAATTTTAAGTTGAAATTCAGTATTTGCATTTTCTGAACCTTTCTGTGCTCTTCCTGATGCATGTCATCCACTCATCTTTAGGTTGTGTTTTCTTCAAACTGGATGATACTACCATGAGAATAACGTGTAATGATAGTTGTAGCTGTGAAGTAGCTAACATCAATACTCCCTTTGTGCAGATGAGGGGTCTGAGATTTGGAGATACTAATGAACTTGTGTAGTAGTAGAAGAGTAGAAAGTAGCCCTTGGCAGACCTTAGGGAGTTTGCTCTTGGGGTGTTATTCCCAGCAAGCAGTTAACTGACAAGAGTGATTCATTGTGCCTAGCAGTGCAGACTGTAGTTTATGTTGAACATCTGTTTCCTTCTGGGAGTTTGGAATGTGGGGATGTTAGGCAAGGGGTGCCTATGTGACTTTTTCACAGTCTCTAATGGGCTTCTGTGGGCAGAAGCACTGCGCAGATGTTGCTGCATTTTTATTACCCTGGAGGAGTTTGCTCCGTGTGACCTCTCAAAGCAGGGAGAATACCTAAGGAAGCTTAGATGGATTCCTCAGCTTTGCCTCTGCCCTTTTCCTTTAGGATCGATCTGCTGTCTCTTTTTTTAAAAATCATTTTATTGGGGGATCGTACAACTCTTATCACCATCCATCCATCCATCCATCCATCCATCCATCCATCCATCCATCCATCCATTGTGTCAAGCACATTTGTACATTTGTTACCATCATCATTCTCAAAACATTTGCCTTCCACTTGAGCCCCTGGTATCAGCTTCTCATTTTTCCCCTCCGCTGTCTATTTTTACTGTGCCGCTGTAATACATCTTAGCTGAGGGGGAGGTACTCATGGGGACACTCCCCCCCGCCCCTGCACCCCTTTCCTAACTGAGAGAGGAGATTCTACCTTGCTGAGACCAAGACTTGTGTTTTGATGTGGGAGAGTTCTTGTCTCCTTTCCTTGCTGATTTGATTTGAGTCCTAAGTAATTTGTAAGAGATGTTATGTAGCCCTTAAAAAAAAGGCGTGTATTTTTTTGTTCATTTATCCATCATAAGTGCCTCTGTTCAAGGCCATGTGGAAGAAGCCTCAAATTTTAGCTTAATGAGAGTATCCGGTCAATAGTTTAAATCTCAGAGTGGGAGACAGGTGCACTTTACCTCGACCTCCTTACTATGTAGCACCATGAAAGTTTTGGCGCTTACCAGTTTCACTTGAAATATGTGTAAACTTGAATGAGGGTGAAAGCACCATATCTGAGGATCTTTTTTTCCTTAATTGTACAGAATCTTAGGCCAATGTTTCTTCCCTTTAGGATAAATTCACTTTAGTGGTTTCACTTCTGATCAAACTAGCATTTTAAAATTAAAAGGATTTTTGTAAAGAGCAATTCTTCTGTATTTCCTTTGAAGTTTGGTTGAGGTTAGAATTACCCATTCTAGGGTCTTTAGTTTGCAGTTACTGGACTGGAAATTTATTTCTCCCAACAAAAGAAAAATCCTCTCAATTTGCTTTGTTGAATAGATCCTAACGAGATTCTAGGTTTCCTAAAATAAGGTATCTGTCAAATATCCCAATTCTTGTTAGCTCCAACCTCCTGTAAAGGAAGGGCAGGTTACCTTAGTATGAGCCAGTTGAACAATCTTTTATTCTCTTTTTGCATGCACATGAGGCTCTTGAGGGAAAATGAACATTTTCAAACATCTGAGATATGCCATGGGTGTAGGTCTTGATTCTGGTTATTTTTTTTTTCTTAACTGGAACTCCCAGCCCATGTCCTTTTGTCTAGTTCTAGCTTGATTTGGAAATTTGTTTATTCACAAATAGTTCATGAAGTAAATTTAGGAATGAACATTTATTTGAGTCTAATCAGTAGATCAGGATTTTATTGATTAATATTCAGACCTTTGTTGCTTCTCTTTCACTTCAGGATAGTTAGGTTTTAAGAGGTGCTTAAGGTAATTGCTCTTTCATTTATTATTACAGGTATGTATTTATTACAGGAGCTCTGGTAGCACGTCCATTAAAATGCTTGACTGCTAACTAAAAAGGCCACCATTTGAACCCACCCACTGCTCTGTAGGGAAGAGATATGGCGATCTCCTTTCATAAGGATTGTAGCCATGGGAATTCTGTTGTAACGACGGGGCTTTGACCCCATTTTACATGGTTTAGCTATGTGGTCCATTCATGTCATGGTACAGTCATGGCTGATGGAAACGGGCAGTCTCGACATTGCATGGCAACCAAATATCTTGCATGCCTATCCTGACCAGGAAGCAGGGAGAGGGCCCCACTCAAAGATGGTGGCCCATGCTGTCACTTGGCATGTGTATGTGTGTTACTCTCCATAGGTGACACACCTATGGATATGTTGCCCTCATCCATGACTAAATAATTTTGTATGGGTTAAAAGCTCTACTTACAGGGTCCCTAATGAGTCAGCTCTACTGGCAACTGGCAATGGAACACTAGGTATTGCTGGCTCCAAACGACACGTGAAATGGTAACATTAAAAGTAAAACAAAAACCCACACCCACTACCACTGGGTCCATTCTGACTCACAGTGACCCTATAGATCAGCGGTTCTCAATCTGTGGGTCGTGACCCCATTAGGGGGTTGAACGACCCTTTCACAGGGGTCATCCAGTTCATAACAGTAGCAAAATTACAGTTATGAAGTAGCAACAAAAATAATTTTATGGTTGGGGGGGGTCACCACAACATACAGAACTGTATTAACAGGTCGTGGCACTAGGAAGGTTGAGAACCACTGCTATACACAGAACTGCCCCTTTGGATTTAAATGTTCATAGAAGCAGATATCCTCATTTTTGTCCCAAAGATCAGCTGGTGGGTTTGAACTGCTGACCTTGGGATTAGAAGTTCACTGGGTAACCTACTATGCCACCAGGGCTCCTTGGTAATAGATTATGAAGATAAAACTGTTATGGGGGCATGGGTAGTAGCAATAGCATTTTTAACTCCATTGATAATTGTGGGTAGCCAAGTTGGGTTGATTTTGTCTTGCTGCCTTTATGCCCACCAGTTCTTTAAATACGTAACATTTGATTCTGTGTATATTTTGGTGATATATCTCTGATAGATTTTTCCTCTTATAACACATGTTGCACAAGCCAACGTTGATTAGGTTATGTTTGGAAGCTTATTTTTTGATATCCAACTTTTCATATGCATTTATATTTGGACTCCGCCTGACTTTTCACAGACCTCTTCCCCGCTTCTCTCTTTTTTGACTGTAACCACATGAATGGTTCCCCTAGGCCCAAGAGTTGGGCAAGAGGAGCCGTTTGTAGGCTTGTGGCCAGAGTTTGGCCACATGGGCTGGGCTGCCCACATTTATGCATATGAGCTGCTTGTGCATAAGGTGGCAGACGATAGGCCAGGGGTGAGAGCTTGCCTTCCCATAGTCCTACAGAATATGAAGGGTCTGAGAATTCATAACAAGAACTTGGCCTTCCAAGTTATTATGAAAGTGCATTTGTCAAGATGGGGGACAAGATGAGATGGTATATTTAATAGCCTGTTAGCTTGACTTAACAACTTAGAAATACTTAGACATAAGAAATATGCTACCATTTGTACTCCTGCCTTCAAGCTCCATGAAAATTAGGGATTGGTCTTTAAGAGGGAATTGAAAAGTAGTATCAGGAAAGGGAAGGAGGTAAATCCGGGATACGTGTTTTAGTTTTTAGGGGAGCGAGTGATCAACATTCAGTGACCAGTGAACACAGTACTTCAAGGAGGGGAATTGACAACTAGAATTTAGTAAAAACATCAGTTGAGTTAGATGGATGCCAGATTTTCGTAGATGTCTGAGTACCTGAGAAATTAGTATAAGGAAATATAGCTTGAAATATTTTTTCTAACTGGAGCGATGTACTGCATAATGAAGGACTTTTTCATTTTTAAAATGAGGGAAAGGAGCTAATGTTAAGGGAGAGAAGGTTAATAATAATAAAGAGGAATTAATTGATGAAGCAAGGCTTAAGAACCATATAGGTGAAAAATTAGGAGGGAAGGTTACTTGAGGAACTTGGAAGTAGAAATAGAGTGTAGGGTATTTGGATGTGCATGGATGTTTGGGGGCGAGTGTAAAGGAAAGACTTAATAGACACTAATAGGAACATTGTTTTCTATAGTAATTTTGAGATTAGTTTTCTTTTTAAAAACGTGACTTTATATTTCTGGGAATGATACTATGTTTGCAGCAATTTTTTAGTAACAGTTTTATTGGCATATAACTTACATATCATAATTCAATCCTTCAGTCATATCAAGGAGAATTGTTCAATCATTACCATATCAATTTTAGGACATGCCGTGGTTTTTAAACACCTGTGGTTGCAACAGTAAACTCAGACATCAGAACAGATGTGAGGAGGGCGCAGGACCGGGTGGTGTTACATTCTGTTGTGTGTGGGCTCACAGTGAGTCAGAACGCACTTGACAGCCCCCGACGATGACGGGTCATGGGCAGTGGATGTTGGGTTTGTCCCTATTAAGAAACGTGAAGTTTTAAGCTTCTGGTTCCTCAATAATCTAGAAATCTTTTTTTGCCATGCTCACTATGTAAATCATTTTTTAAAACTATGTCACCAGACTCTGTGGGTAGTTTATTGTAATAATCATATGTTATCTGAGCCATATTCATTATGGACAGAATATCTTAAAAATGTAACTATATTAATGTTCTCTTTTTCTCCCTCTACTAGTTGTTCCCGAAAACTGGTTCAGATTTTAACTCTTGCCCAGTTGTGGAGGTAGTGGAGCATGCTTAGACTACTTAACATCCAAATTGTGAGTAAAATTTATTTCTGCTCTTTATGCCCCATCCAACAAACAGCTTTATTGGCATATAACACATATAATGCAATTCAGTAGTTCAGTACATCAAGAAGAGTTGTACAATCTCTACCACTATTGGTTTTAGAACATTTTCTTCATTCTTGTATACATCGTTATTGGCTCCCCATTTTCCCAAACCTTCCCTGCCATACTCCTAAGGAACCTTTAATCTAATTACTGTCTCCATAGATTTACCTATCCTGGATTTCATATACAGAAAAATACCAATAAACAGAAAAATAACTACAAACAAAACTGACAAGAATAACAAAGTAAAACATAAAAACCTCAATAGAAAAATATTTCTGCTGCTCTTATCTATTTTGAAAACAGAAATAGGAAATTTTATGTGATAAAAATGAGATTTTGTATGAGATATGGATTTGTCTTGTTTGCCACCATCATTTTCAGAACTTTTTCTCTCTACTTAAGCCCTTGCTATCAGCTCATTTTTCCCCCTCCCCACCCTCCCTCCCTCATGAGCCCTTGATAATTTATAAATTAAAAAAAAATTTTTACATCGACCGCTGACTCCCTTCACTTTTCTGTTGTCTGTCCTCTTAAGTTTTCTTTTGAAAACACACCTTTCTTCTTAGCCCCTTTTTTGTTAATATCAGACTGACAGTCCACTGACATTGAGTCACTTCAGACTTGTAGCACCTCTATAGGGCAAGGTCGAATTGCCCCTGAGGTTCCCGAGGCTGTAAAGCCTCACTCACCTTTCTTGCCACAAAACGGCTATAGTGGCATCCCAACACATAGCCCCCAGCACCACCAGGGCACCTTTGGATCTTAGTAGTGAGGTGAAATGTCATATGTTTGTCTTTCCAGCTTGTGTTTTTATTGTCGAAGTTAATGGAAATTCTTTATTAATTTGTGTCTGTATTTGTATGATGCCAGGAGTCAAAACAAAGATATAGTGCTAGATGGAGTGACTTATTAGAAATATTTTATGTATGCTTAGTTTATCTGCGTTTAAAATTTTTATATGAACAGATTTTGAGTTATTTGTTAGAAATAAATGTCTAACTTCCCTGTCTGAGAAAATAAAGTGTAATACGTGAACCAACCCTTGACATCTCTACAAAGGAAAAGCAGCTACTCACGTGAATATATTCTTGATAGGTATTTTGAACCAGTAGCAAGTTATTACTGCAAAAAGAATGGTAAACTAATGTCAGAGGCGTTCCACATGGTTTCATTCCTTTGTTTTCAAACTGCTCTGTTTGCAATGATAAGCGCAAATTAATTTATCTTACAGTCTACAGAGTATTCAAAGTGCGAGTACCAAATGAGATTGCAGCCATAAGCAAAAGACTGCTGTAGTTGTATATTGTTTAAAAAAATCAAATGAACAAAGACAAACAATGAAATATTTACAAGCCAATAAATCTTGAAATTTGTTAGACAATGTGTTTAAGGAGTTTTAATTAAGTACTTTTTATGTTTTCAATGCCTAAAGGACAAGACACATTTGTTATCAAACTATTTTACATATAATTACATCTTCATAAAGGGATAATGTTGTATTTTATGTTCTAGACTATAACTGTCATACTTTCATCCACATGCAGTGACTTGGTAAGAATTGATTTCAGTATGTTTCTAAACTTGGATATGAATGTGAGGCTTAGAATGTTAATGACCACCATCTTTTGACCCAGAGCTTTATAAGCATGTTTTTTTCTCAGTTTGAAGAAATAGTTAAGGTTGGGTCACACATTTAACATTTCATATCCTCTGTATATTTTAAAATAACACCAAATTCTTCTTCTTTTTAGGCTGTCTGGTTAATCATCTTCAGAAGACTGGATTTTGGGATATGTACTCCACTCCATCACTACTGACTTTTAAAATTAATAATGCAAACTTGTAACACTGGCAAGTGTCCATGAACTTTTAATTACATTGGTAAATAGCGCTTGAAGCTTCCTCAGGGAATAAACAATGGCATCAGCAGTGGTTGACAGTGGAGGTTCTGTTTTGGAGCTTCCCAGCAATGGAGTAGAAAATCACGAGGTTAGACATTTAATTTACTACATTTCTGTTTTGTTCATAGAAATCATATGTATGAACTAATTTTGGGATTAAAGGGAAACAGGTATTTGAGAGTAGAAATACATTGTAGCTGGAACTGCACGTGTACGTCACAGACCTTTTATGATTTAAGAGCCAGAAGGTTGAGGAAGGTATTTACAGGGCTCACCTATATTGCGAGAACATGCATTTAATTAGAGTGAAAGTTGAAGGAAGAAATGGAAAGAAATAACACTATAATGCCGGTTGAGCCATAGACTTAGATCCCAGATAAGATTCATGGTTTTGAATTCTAGAGTTATACAGCAAGGATACTGTATCTAAATAGCTACATTAGATGAATCTCAAATAGAACTTTGTGTCTACTTTGCTTGTCATCTCTGTTTCTTGCTTCTTTATATCTAATCCAGTCTGAGCAGCCATCATATTTTAATCCAATACATATAATTAATATAATTATACTTGTAGACATTTGAATCATTAGTACATCGTATTCTCCTGTTATTGATAACACCGAGGAATAAGAGATGAGAGTGAAAAATAACAGTAACAGAAAAAAACCCTGTCACAATAATAGACAAATACTGACCTGGAGGTAAAGTGGGGAGAATGAGCTTAAAAAAAGAGAAATCTTTTTTCTCTCTAGTTTCTATGAAATCTGCTCCTGTTATTGATACGTAATACTAATATAGTGGTCTAAACTAGCATAACTAAGGTATCCGGTTGTGATATTTTTGGCTCTGGGCTATTTTTCTTATTTGCTGGGTATCTGTTCAGTCTTCCTGATCAACTTATGAGCAGACATATTAACTGAATAAAAAATTTGAAAATGTGATACTGAAAACCCATTTGCAAAACTGAACATACATTTATTTTTCTAACTCCTTAAATTAATAATAAAAGGCAACATCTTCAGCCTGAAGAAGCCATCTGAAAACCCCACCGCAGTGTCTTGCTTGATGGCGAAAGACTGGCTGCTTTCTTTTTACGGTTGATAACAATGCATGGATGTCTGCTCTGACCATATCTAGTCAACATGGTACTGATATACTTAGACATTGCAGCACAAATAAATAAAAGATCCATAGACTGAAAGGAAAAAGTTAAACTTTTTTTTGTGATATGATCATGTACATAGAAAATCTTAAGCAATCTGTTAGCTACTAGAACTAATAAATTCAGAAGTTAAGTATCCATAATGAATACTAGGAGGTTTTACAAAGTTCATGGAATAATGGAATTCAAAGATAATAGAATTCGTCCATGAACTTTTTGAAGGCCCCTCATGTTTATAAGTCAATTGTATGTATATGTGTGTGTGTGTGTGTATATATATTAGCTACCTGCAATTAAAAACCTAATTAAAAACACCATACTACTTAATAGAGCATCACAATATGTGAGGATAAGTTTAATAAAATGTGAAAGGCCGGTATACTTACAGAAAACCACAAAATCTTTTTGAGAGAAATTATAGAAGACCTAAATAAATGGGGAATGGATTGGAAACTTACGGTTCAGTTCAGAGTTGGAAGGCGTACATACTTTATTATGTATATAAAGCTTCAGTGATTCTGATAGTGTGGTATTGGCATACCAGTAGATATATTTTATCCATCAGTAGAACATGATGGAGACCCATATGTACAAGCTGGGTTGTGAAACATTTTTATTGTGAATTGGGTGAAGGTTTACAGAATAAATTAGGGTTCCGTTCAAGTCACACACATTTTGTTTCATGTTATTGATTACAGTCTGCACAGTGTAACATGGTTTAATTTTAATTATCCTGCAGAGGTAATTCAGTGGAGGAAGAATAGTCTTCAACAAATGATGTTGGAGTATAGGATATCCATATTCCAATGAGTTAACCACAAACCTTTCTCACACAGAACAACTAGTAATTGATCTGAAGTTTAAATTAAAGATATGATGTAGAAATTTCTGGAAGAAAGCACAAAAAATTCTCAGTCTTGTAATACGATCATGATTCTGATTGAACACGAAACAAAATTTGAAAAGGAAAAGAATTTTTCATTGAAAAAATCTGCTCTTTGAAAAACTTTACAAAAACTTCTTTTCTTGCCAAACCAAAGATTGGAAGAAAATATTTGTAATTTTCTGGTAATAGACATACAATCAGACCTCATACAGTTGTAAATAGAAGACAACGCATTAAAATGGCCAACAGTTTAACAGATATTTAAATGAATGGCCAACAAGCACTTAAAAGTACCGGTAGTATAGTCATCAGGAAATGCAAGTTAAAACCACAAGGAGGTGATGCGCAGAATAGTGACAATAGTGACTGGAAAAGGTGTAGTGCAACCGAAACTCTTGTACGTTCCTGGTGGGAGTGTATAAGAAAAATAGTTTGACAGTTCTTTTAAGATTAAATATACATTTACCGTGACCTGGTAATTTGATTCCTAGATTCCTTAAAGATTTATAACCGAGGATCCCCTATGTATGGGACAGTTCTACAGGGTCGCTATGAGCATGATTGACTTAATGCCATTGGGGTTGATTTTTCTGATGACATACTAATAGATGTAACAAATAACATGGTGAGATCTCCAAAACATTGTGCTCATTTATGTGAAACTATTTGTTAAGTGGAGTTGATTGGGGAAACAAATTCATAGTAAGAAAGAGCTTTATATAAAAGAGTAATTGTACATTAAGAAAACATCCCAGCCCAGTCCAGATCAAGTCCATAAATCCAATATTAGCCCATATGTCCACTACTAGTCCATAAATTCCTCTTTAGACTTACGCAGCCATGCAATAATGCTGAATGCAGGAAGATCACAGGACAGTGGTTGGAAAGTCTTGTAAATCCAGTGACATTGCAGCGCTGGCAGGGGACTTCGTGTGGCTTCTCCCGCTCCCAGGGCTGTAGTGTAGCTCCATGTGTCTTGTCAGAAGGAATGTTTCACAGGGAGTGAGCCAGTGTCTCGCCTCCCATGAGCTATTTATCTCCTTAGCACCTCCAGAGGAGGTTATCAAGCTGCGACCTGTTTGACAAGGCTAAACGCCACCCCTTCACTCTTAAGTCTCAAATTGACAACAGATTATGTAACTACCACACTGTAGAAAAGGCAAATCTATAATTATAGAAACAAATCAGATAGGGGTTTGTGTATATGTGTGGTGGTGGTGGTGGGGTTGTTAGGGAGGGTAGAATGAGAAAGGGAGTATGAGGAAACTTTCTGGGCTAATAGAAGTGTTTTTTTTTTTTTTTTTAAACATTTTATTAGGGGCTCATACAACTGTTATCGCAATCCATACACCCATCAATTGTGTAAAGCGCATTTGTACATAATTCTCAAAACATTTTCTCTCCACTTAAACCTCCGACATTAGGTCCTCATTTTCCCCCTCCCTCCCCGCTCCCCCCTCCCTCATGAGCCCTTGATAGTTTATATATTGGTATTCTTAATTATGATGATAGTTAGCCAAACCTGATCCCAAACCCTAATCCAAGCTCAAACCCACTGCCTTTGAGTTGATTTCAAACCATGGTGACCGTTACAGGGCTTTTGAGACTATAAATCTTTATTGGAACAATCAAGACTCATTTTTCTCCTGAGAAGTGGCTGATGGGTTTAAGGTGTCAATCTTGTGGTTAGCAAACCAATATTTATCCTAAAGCATCACCATGGTTCCTTGATGGGAGTTCCAGTGATGTTTAATATTTGTGCAAATCTACAGAGCTGTACACATCAAATAGGTACATTGTGTATATATAAATTATACCTGAATAAAGTTGACTTTATACCTATCTGTTCAGGGAGATTCTCCCACAGATCTTATATTGAAGTTTTCAGATTACACCATATTAGCTTTTAAAAATTGGTTGCTATTATTTGTGTTTGATTTGTTATTTTAAAAGGGAAAATATAATAGAGTTTTTGTTTGAGTTTGATTTTTAGTTATATAAGATTATTGTAAAACAATAAAATCATAACTACGAAGAAAATGAACATTTTCTCTTCTAGCTGTTCACTTCTCCCAGGTTGTTTATTAAAAGCTCTGAAAAACGAAACTCACTGCCATGAAGTCAATACCAACTCAGAGTGACCCTCTAGGATAGGGTAGAACTGCCCCTGTGGGTTTCTGAAACTGTAACTCTTTTATGGGAGTAGAAAGTCCTGTCTTTCTCCCTTTGGAGCAGCTGATGGTTACAAACTGCTGACCTTGTAGTTAGCAACCCATGTAAATGGAATCATACAATAAGATCATTTTGTAACCCATTTCCTCCTTATCTTTTAGGTCAGCGGTTCTCAACCTTCCTAATGCCACGACCCTTTAATACAGTTCCTCATGTTGTGGTGGCCCCCAACCACAACATTCTTTTCTTTTAATCATTTTACTGGGGGCTCATACAACTCTTTTTTTCTTTTTTGCCTGCCAATAAATATTTTAATTTCGTGTTTGCTTTGGGCTGATGATGACGAATCATTTTCAAGTTCATGTCTTTTCCTTTTAAATACAGAGTTCAGCCACAAACAGGTATAGACAAGACATTTCATCTCATACGTACACGCTGCGGTGGGAATCCTCTAATTGATTTGACCGCTAGGCGGGGCAAGAAGACTTTCTTAGGTATCACCATCATGAGGCCTGGGGGGGAATCAAGGAGGACAGGCTCTTACACCTGTCTCCATTCATATTTCCCTGGGACCAGGGTGGGCAGGGGACCGCAGGTCACAGCTCTGGAGCCTGTCCCCCTGGATTGAAGATCCAACAGTGAGAGACCAGTTTTGGGTGGGGGAGGGGTAGGCAACTGCTCCTCCTGCCTTCAAGCCAGCCAGTCAGTCAAGGTGAAGACTTTTCGGCTGCTTCCACAGGAAGCCCAGCCCACTGCCCTGTAGCACCTGGGGCCCTGCCTGAGGCTGGGAGAGGTGGCCTTAGGGTGGGCCCCAAACGTCCAGACTAGTAGATTCACCTGTCAGTTGATGGCTACTGCTTCACAGGAA